AAATTTTCTCATTACGAGTGAAAAAATTTTTTATATGGATCAATTTAAGTAGGCAATACTAGGATTACAATTTCATTTTTCCTTTTGGCTAATAAATTAATCTTTTAATTGTTGATCGTATTGCAAAAAGATAAATTACAATATCTGAATGATTTAAATTTATAACAAATGATAATGGTATGTCTGGTCACGGTAGTTGATTTAAATTAAACATTGAAATTCCTCAATATGATTGAAATATTACTTAAATTTTAACTGGAAGATTTTTTTTTCTCCAAATTATATTGGTAAATTATAAGATTTTGCATATAAAGTATTGCTAATTTAAAAAACAAATGTAAGTTAAATCTAAGCTCTGAAAAAAAAAAGAAAGGGAAATTTTTCATTATCTTTAACTAATCAATCAACTGATAATGATGATAACTGTTGTAAATAATTTGGATGTGACGACTTCTTTGAGTAAATGTTTTCTTTTTTGATTTTGAATTAATTGTTTTTTTAAAAGTTTGTATTAAATTTTCAATAATTTCTCTCGCATTATTTCTCCTTTAGCATATGTTAAAAATGAAAAAGAGTAGAAGAGAGAAGAGAGAGAAAGAGAAGGGAAAAAAGAAGAGCAAAATATGAATGTATTTGGAAGTTTGTTACATCTACCGTAATCAGCTTTGATATTTTTGGCCAGATGTGAAGGGGAAGAAAAGGAACGAAACGAGCCAAATATATTAGTCTGGTTGGATGAAAAAGAATCCATTAAGCTTAATTAAGGGTGGAGCAATGATTGCCAGTCGATGTCGACAATTTTTGTTGAATAAATATCCTAAACCAAATTCTCAGAATGATGATTTCATCATTTGGGTTTAATCAATTCCGTAGATTTGATTGATTTTTCCATTTCCAATATGGATTATATTATTCATTAGCTTCCATTTCTATCCCTTTTATCCACTTATTCGTTTATTTGAAAATGAAAAATTTCATTCATTGCAAAATTAATGCATTTGAATTAACTTAAATGAGTATTTATTACCAAATGTTGTTATTGTATACTGTATTGCATTACGATAATATCATGTCTTATCATAATTTACATATTGCAAAATGGCTTATATTCCTATACATTTGTGACACACAAAATTAAATTGAACAATTTCGAAAAAACATATTAATAGATTAAATTCATGAAATTCTGATTGAAATATAATAGTCTAAGATATATAGTAGTGATAAGGATTATCATTATGACGTTAGTATGGCAACAATTAATTGATGGTAAACTTTTAATCATATAATTGGAGAAGATGATCCAATTGTTAATTATAGCATGAGGTATTTATTAACTATACATTAAAAAAAAAGAGATAAACCCATACATATGTATTTCAATAATATTTCATCTAAGAATTTTTAAAAATTTTTTTCTTTCCGTATTTTTTTAAAAATTTTTTTTCAAGTACCTGTAATAATACTTTTTGTTTCCGCAAAGTTCTTCTTTTTAAATTTTTTTATTTATTTATTTATTTATTTATTTTTGTTTATTTATTTTTTCCTTCTTTAAAACTCTTTCGCTTACTTATTTACTTATTTTTGTTTATTCATTTATATTTTTGTTTTTATTTATTTATTTATATTTGTTATAACATTGGCATATCTTTAAAGGTGAAAATAAAATTTTCAAAAATTTATAATATCATTTCAAAAATAGTTCTAATCAAATTTTTTTAGAATGAATATGGTAGATTATGGTAGCTATTTTACGACAACAGTTCCTGTAACAACAACTGGTTATGATCGAAATACTTTTGATGCATTTAGTTTAAATCCAAATTTAAATTTTACAACGGCAACAAATACCAATGGATCATTAATGGCTACAGCATACGGTAATGCAATTCAACAGCAGCAGCAGCAACAACAACAACAACAACAACAACAACAACAGCAACAACAACAACAGCAACAACAACAACAACAACTTTATGAACAGTATGCTAGTTCATATGGACAATTAACCGGAGGAAATACGAGGTGAACAAATTTCACAGGAAAAAATCCCAAAAATTTACTTCTGTAAAGTTTATTTCCGAATTTATGCCAATGGAAATACCAAAAATTACGGGAATAATTATTCACATACAGAAATAAAAAAGAAAAAACCGAAATAAAAAATACGGTTTTCCGAAATGTAAAATATGAATCGTTAAAATTTGATACAAAATTTGGATTAATATTTTCCAAATTTTTAGACATTTGACTGTTGGTCATCATCCGTCAATGTTACAAACTTCGGCACAAACCACGACAAGTTCTACGACAAAGACAATTACGAATGCAACTGCTACACAACCCTACCGTACAACCAGTTCTTTACAAGCTTTCCTACAAACAGGTAATTTAATTTCCGGTTCAACGGATTTATGTTTGGAAAATTTGTTGTGTGGTGTATGTGTCTGTGTGTGTCTGTATCTTCTATCTGTGTATATATTTTAAAAATGATATAAAACAAAACAGTTATGACATCGAAATGTTCATTTTTTTTCTTTTTTTTTCCTCAAAAGATTACAATTTTTGAAAAATTTTGTTTTGTTAAAATTGAAGTTTTTTTTTTTTTTTTAAAGAAGTTTTTCTTCATAGTATTAATTTTTATGATTTAATTTAAGCTATCCACAATTATCTGTTCTTATCTTAGAATTTATAACAATAAATAATAATACTATGATAAATGATATTCGTGAAATTAACAAATAAAAGCATTTTAACAAATATTAACATTTTTACTTTTAATAAATATTAACAATATAACTGATTTTATCTTTTAAACTCTTAAAATGTATTCCTTAATAGAAAAAAAACAAAATAATTTTCGTTTTTTTTTTTTTCAGAAATATTATAAATCAAACATAACAAATGACTAGTGAAAGAATGTAAATTACTCGATGAATTCAGCTAACAAAAGCATAATTGTTGAGCTAGAAAAAAAAAAAGGAAGTAATAGGGTTAAAAATAATGAACAAATTGAAAGGTTAAAATGACATAGAGTTCAAATAGATTTAGAAATCATGCATAAGTTTTGTCAACTTCTCCTTTTCCAATTTATTTTGCTTATTATTATTTTTTTTTTAAATAAAAATATTCAGCTTTATTCTTAGGATATGGAATTTTACGAGTTCTCATCCTTAATGAGTTAATTGAAGATTGTCATGATAATTTGATTCTGATAAACGATTATGATTAATTTCGAAATTTTAATATAACATATAGTCCAAGTGAAATACCTCAGAAGTTCATGGAAATCTATTGATTTTTAATCAGGTCAAATTAAATTAATGAATTCATTCGATCAGATCAAATTAATTTAATGAATTCATTCAAACTGCATCGATCAACCTGTCAATGAAGAATTGTTTAATTACATCAAAAATCTTGTTGTAATAAATGGTAATTTAAGGACTTCAGTATAAATTGTATCAAAATCAAACATCTCTCCTCTCAACAACAGCTGATGCAATGCGTGCTAATACAGCAGGCTTAATGGCTGGTATACAAGGATCATCACTTGTTGGTAATAAAATATCATTATTGATAATTCTATAACCATCTTTCATTTCTACTGTTACTACTGCTACTACTACTATCCTGATCTAAAAAAAAAAAAAAAAA